TATTTATTTATTTATTTATTTATTTATTTATTTATTTATTTAATTTTCATCTGGTTTCTGTGATAGATGCTAGTTGGAGAGTTTGGGAAACAGAGCAAAGAGTTAGGAGGAACACTCATCTCTCCTGCGTGGGCTTGGGGTCCTGTGCTCTTTCCCAGGAACAAGAAGAGATGGTTGATTCATGTTGGTTAAATGCAGTGCAATTAATTCCTTTCCGGAGCCCAATAAATCTTTGTCCCAGGTTCGTTGTAAAATACTGATTTATTTCTCAGGATGGGTGTGCTAACACATTTGTTGGCTTGAATTATTTAAAGTTATAAAGGGTCTTATTTCTTTGCCCTGATTTGCACTTTACATATAGTTCCCTGTAGCAATTCACAGAAATTCATGTCGGAAATTGTAAAGGGAAAATTACTTTTAAAGAGCAGTTTGGCATATAAGAATATGAGTGCCAAAACCGGTTTGGCTCAGTGGATAGAGTGTTGCTGAAAGGTTCCAGGTTCGATTCCGGTCAGGGGCATGTACCTTGGTTGCAGGCACATTCCCAGTAGGGGGTGTGCAGGAGGCGGCTGGTCGATGTTTCTCTCTCATTGATGTTTCTAGCTCTCTATCCCTCTCCCTTCCTCTCTGTGGAAAATCAATAAAATATATTAAAAAAAATAACATGAGTAATCTTGCAGTATTTCTCCTACTGTACTGTGCCTTCAGGCTAGGCTTTTCAGAATATTTCCCCCCATTGAATCTGGAATTTTGTGAGAGGCCAACCATCTCTCTCTCTCTCTCTCTCTGTGTCTCTCTCTCTGTGTCTCGCTGTCTCTGTCTCTCTCTCTCTCTCTCTCTCTCTCTCTCTCTCTCTCTCTCTCTCAGCCCCCAGGGTGCCTCTTCTTTGCTGGGGTCCTGGCACTTTCCTCTTCCTGCTCCCCCATCCCAGGCAGAGGGTGTTAAACTGCAACCCTGAGCTCTGGTTTGAGGTATCTGAGGTGCCAGATGATTTCTCCCTTGCTCACTTTCCTCCTCTATTGGTATGTTTCTCCTTCATTTCCTCCAGCTGTAGATTTCATTGTGGGAATTATATAAATGATTCATCATCATATAAGACCGTGTTTAATAATGGTATAGTGTATTCTATCTTCCAAATGCATTTGATTCTTTGATGAGTTTTTTGTTTAGATTATGGAAACAAAGATAAAACCAATTAGTATTTTTTTATATTCATCTAATAGTGATGATTTTGCAATGTGATTTGATCTTATGCCGAAAGTACTCTAATGTGTTTCTATCAGGGGTAAAGTTCTTAATTTCACAGCAGAATGATGAAGGGAAATGGCAACTTTCATGACTTTGGTTTTTGTTTATCAGAATATTTAACTGTAGGCCTGTGTATTTTTGGAGAGAATGAAAATGTTTGCCCTTTCATCAGCCTTATCTGAATGAAGGCATGGAGTCTTGAGTATGAGAGGCAGGATTTGTGGAATTCACTTGATTTACTAGGAATTGCTTCTCTTTGTGTAATTCCTAATTGAAACAGTAATGTCATCAAACAGTATTAGCTGCTTATTTATGAAAGGTGATGTATTAGTCATTTTCAGAACTAGTACCACCAAGTAAAGATATTTTTCTTTAGTAAAGTCTACATTCTAAAGGGCTTCTGTGTTGACATAGCCCTCTGACCTTGCAGACAGTGAATGAGACTGGTGCTGGTTATTAGATGACTAGAGGCCTGGTGAGCGAAATTCGGCCCCTAAGGGGGACCCCTAAGTTCGGCCTGCACCCTCTCCAATCCGGGACCCCTTGGGAAATGTCTGACTGCTGGTTTGTGCCCGCACTTTTAACAGATGACAGCTTCATTGTTGTTTATTTCTTTTCATGCTTAAACCCATTGGAATGAGTAGGTATTCAAAGTGTGTATAGATTGGCCAGAGCGGGGTGGAATGCAAGGCTTTGTCGCCATGGCGACGATGTAAGCATCTTGGCCTGGCTGCTGCCATCTTTGTTGTGGAGTGACCCTCAATTTGCATATTCCCTCCTTATTGGCCGTGGGTGCCACCATCTTTGTTGCAGAGTTATGGTCAATTTGCATATTCTCTCTTTATTAGATAGGATGAGCCACTGTTCAGTTGATACTATTTTTCTTATAGAAGAGTAAACTCCAGAGCTCTTTGACTGTCCATGTTTGACATGGAATTGATGGGGTTGGTAGTTGCGTATTTTACTATCAAAGTCATGTATTAGATTGACCACAGTTTTTATAGCTTGCAAGTTGTTGAAATATCCTATTTTCTAAAATTTGATAATGCTGAGTGAGGTTAACATGTTGTGACCTCCCTGATGTTTACTAGTATTACTAATTCTATATTTGATTCTTCTTGAGGGTTGTAAATGTGCATACTAGGTTGGAGATATATTACCCATATTAATCCCCTCATCCCCACTGAAAAAATTTAATACCTAGAAGCAAAATTTAAATGGTTAAAGAGTATTTGGTGTTAAATCTTTCCTTTCTTTTTAGAACTTAATGAGTGATTTGGACTGTGTGTGTGTGTGTGTGTGTGTGTGTAAAAGTGAGAAAATAGGTCAGATCTGAGTGAAAATAAATTAAGGTTGGGGCACTAAACTGTTACATTCCACTGGGTAGAATGCTTCCTAGTGTAAGGAACAGACAGCCCTTAAGGAATAGATGACTCCAGGGCCTTCATGGAGATTGCATTCACTCATTCATTCATTTATTCATATTTAGCACTCATTAAATAAATACCAATTGATCTTGTGTGTGTTGTCTGTGCCCTAGGTTCGTGGGCAAACAGTAAATAAAACCACATTCCTGCCTTCATGGAGCTTACAATGAACTAATATATAAGACAAGCAATGAACAAATAGACATATATATGTCAGTGGCAGTACGTGCTTTGTAAAAAAGCCAAGGAGGAGAGAGGGGAGGCCAGGGGGTGGAGTTGGGAATTGGCTATTTATAAAAGTGGTCTCAAGGAAGCTTCCTGTAGAATCTGCTGTTATCTTAATTTCACACATAGAGGTTTATTTCACTTACATTTCAATTTCATTCTGCCTTTTGAAATGTCATTTGGAAATAGAAATGATCAAACCACCTTCGTGATTGGCTTCTTAGTATGACTGTGTTTTAGATTATTTCCCTTGAGCAAATGTTAATAGAGAGAGTCAGAGGCTGTGATATATGAGGTGGGGCTGAGAAGCACCTGAATGGGTGAAGTCCTCTCCTGCTTCTGTCACCTGGGAGCCCCATTGCCCACATGCCTTGTGTTGCATTACTGCCCCATGGAATTGCCTATTCTATCCTTGAAGTAAATTCTTGCTCTGTGGCATTGCCCATTTTTCCTGGGAATGCTAATTGGAGAAAGCAAACTGTGAAATGCTTTTGAGAAATGCACTGTAAATTTAGGATTATTTTTTGCCCAGTTCACCTTTTTGTTTGGTTTATTATTTTGATTTACATTTTCAAAGTGTTACTATTAATATTATCATTATTACTGACATTTGTGCACTGTGGTGGTGGTGGGGTTCCTCACTCTGGCCTGGGACCCCTCAGTGGGTGTTAGTGCTGTAGCGGAGGCGGGAGAGGCTCCCCCCACTGCCGCTGAGCTTGCCAGCTGTGAACCTGGCTTCTGGTTGAGCAGCACCCCCTGTGGGAGCACACTGACCACTGCGGGGCAGCTCCTATGTTGAGCGTCTGCCCTCAAGTGGTCAGTGTGCATCATAGTGACAATTGTCCCGCCATTTGGTTGACTTACATATTAGCCTCTTATTATATAGGATTACGTTTAATATAGAGCCTAGATGTGTCTCTAGGGATATCTTTATAAATGGGCTGTGACTCAAAACATTAAATCACTCTAAAAGGGGAATGATTTTAATTCCTCCCACTTCTCTGGCCCCATGGCTTCAGTAGGGTTCCTTTAAGTGTCCCAAATGTAGCAGCAGTGTCTGCACCGCACTTTTACCCCGCGATCCCTGAGATGGAAAACTGGTGCCACATTTAGCTCTGTTGGCGACAGGCTCTGGCAGTGATTGTGAGAGTGTGGATTTCCAGATGCTTAGGCATGCCCCTTTGCTTAAGAAATCTCTCACACACACACACACACACACACACACACACACACACACACACAAATACCTGAGGTGTCCTAAGTTAAATTACAGTGGCAAGTGAGTGAGAGGAAGAGAATAGAGTATTTGAAGTTATTAGCTGTTGGTCAGTAGACTGCTCACCTTCCTGAATGTCTGTTGGAGCTTTGAATCCACCTCAGCCTCTATTAGTGACAGCGGACATCACTGCCTGTGCAGGAACTTCAGGACTGTTGCCCACCGCCAATCAAAGCAGTAAACATTTGTTCCTTACAGGCTGTTCACCTATCCTAGAACTGCCCCCATCACCTTTTCTACCTCTTTCATATTCTTTGAAAATTCTTTCAAAACAATGTAGATCTTTCTTCTCCCCAACATAATGAATAAAAAGCTCCCCAGCCCACGCCAGCGGATATGTTGTCTTCCCCACACCTGCTGCTGGTGGCTTAGGCTGCACGCCCCGGGGCCTGATCCTTTCCTAGCTAGCGTATGGCTCAGTAACCCTGTTTTTTTTAAGAAGAACTTTTGGCCGTGAAAGTTTTTTTTTGTTTGTTTACCATATGGCACCACAGTTGAGGTTTCAAAGAAATTGTATTCTGTGTGCATTTATTTTGTGATTTCTATCTACAGACATCAATGGTATACACAGGTTCTAATTTCTCTGATGGAGTATTTCTTTAGTTTTGTAGCATGAGTGTTTGTTGGCTTTCACTGATAAATAATTTTAGGTCTGGATATGAAGGCAGAAAATGATACTGGCTTGTGGCAATGCAGCTGCTTTTAAAAATGAGCAAAATATATCTTATATCTTTTTTTTTGTTTTTAGCAAAACTGTTCTATGTGAGAATAAATTTTAATGGCCAATTTTAATATAAAAATGTTTCCTTTTTTTTTTCTTCCAGCTTTTGCATTGGCTTCTAAAGATGTAAAGGAGGTCACACCATCTAAGGTACTGATTCTAATGATCAAATCTATCCTTCCCATTTGCGATTTCTTTAATGGGAGCTGTCATGAATTTTTCTTTCAGTGAAGTTTATTTTTCTTTCTTTTATCTTTCTTTCTTTTTTCTTTTCTTTCTTTTTTTTTTTTTTTTACAAATTTATGAAATTTTGGTCAACATAGATTTTGAATTTCTAGCAATAACCAACAGATAGGCTGGCTTTTAAGAACGTTCTCCTATAGTTAAAGCACATCTACTAGGTTTCAAATTTCTTCATAAGGAAGAAGATATTCTGATGTGAAGTTAGACATTTTAGAAATCTTGCTTGGATCTGATGGTTTTTTCCAGGTGTAGCACATCTTAACCTTGGGTTTAATTTTCCCAGTCTGTGAAAGGACTGTGCTGTGTTTCCAGGGTCCCTCACCTTGAAGGCAGCACCATTAGAGGGCATCGGGGACAGCTGAGAGATGGAGAGTCCATGCTCAGTCAGAACCAGGAACTGAGATCTGGGCCCCGATGGAGAGGTCACAGCACTCACCCAATCTCTGAGCTGTTGCTTTGTCATAATTTCATCATTGATTTTGTTCCAGAACCTCATCTAAATTTTACCATGTGGGCTTAATACAAGAGTAGTTTTAGCACATGAGAAGGAGAAACAATACATATGAGTTGTTTTTGCCACATTAATTAAGGCTCAGGTGACTCTATTTCTCCCCCCCCCCCCCACTATTAGTATAAAATAGAATGTTCTAGCTATACCTTGGGATTCCTACATGGGGGAAATAATAATAATAATAATAATAATAATAATAATAATAATAATAATAATTTCTTAAGATCCTTTATAGTTAATTAAACATTTTCAGACATTTCATTTAATTTAGTCTTCTCAATGATCTTGTTACTGCACAGCAAAATAGATATTCTTTTGGAAAGCTCAGAAAAGTTACCTTCAGAGAAGTTAAGTGGTTCATCTGAGGTCACATAACCATTAATAGGTGAAGTCAGAATCCAAATTTTATGAATTCTTGAATTTTTCACATCAATTTTATATTACACTATTACACAGCCATGTGCATTATAAAATGTGTGTGTGTGTGTGTGTGTGTGTGTGTGTGTGTGTGTATGTATTTGGCAACAATGAGGTTCATTTATAATAAATTTAAAGTGCTACCCAAGATTTATTAATAGGGAACTAAAATTTTATCTAATAAATTTAGAAATACTTTCAAATACATGTTTTACCTAATCCTTTCAAATAAAGAAATATATGTCCCTTTTGCTTTAAATACATATGTAATTCTAAAGAGACAGGTGAAGGGAAAGTATTCCATCTTATTGTCATTTTTCATGCAAAAAAGCCCTTGAAATATGTCATTAAGCCCACCTGTGCTAAGGCCACAGAGCCAAAAAAGCCATTAATCCCATGGGGAGCGGCAGTGATGAAATGCCTTCTGTAGACCACACCTGAGAGTGAGAGACAGAAAAGAATCAGCTTGCCCAAGGTCAACCAAAGTCTGTAGATGGTTTGGAGACTGGAGTTGTTCTCATTAGTTTATCTGCCTTTGCAGTGCTGCTCAGAAGTAGCCTGTTGTGTTTTCCTCACTTTATTGCTCACCTTGGTGACATGCCCTAGAACACAGGCCAGCCATACAGGGCTGAGGGCCTTCCCAAAACATGAAGTTCACCGGTTGGTGCCAGTGTCTTCACATGAAAATCAGAACCAGTACCTTGAGGTCCTGTTTGGGGCCTGGCCTCTAGGCCCAGGCTTCTCTTCTGAGCACTTGGCCCCTGCACTGTCCTGGATGGGACCTGCCCTCTTCCAGGGAATCTGTCCTCCAGGCTCTGCTCCAGGCCCCGGATGCTGCCTCAGCTGTGGCCATGTTCCTGTTTGGCCTGCAGATTGGCCTGGCCTTATATCCTGTGGTGACTCATGACATTGTATTCCATATGACAAGGTGTTAGAACTGGACACTGAAACCACATTGCAACGGGCCACATCCCTTCTCCAACACTGACCTGCTGTGGTACTTTCCAAACCTTTCTGTGCCTCAGCAGCCTCAGTAAGGCTGGATAATAGGGCCCGTCTCTAAAAATTCTTTGAAGATGAAGGTATGTGTGTGTGTGTGTCCCCAACATGTACAACAGTGCCAGCCCCCATTTAATATGACAGCAAGAAATGTCCTATGCAATATTTCAAGAGGAACCTAAACAAATAAAGAAGAACCATGGACATTACTGCTTTTTTTTTAAAATATATTTTTTATTGATTTTTTTACAGAGAGGAAGGGAGAGAAATAGAGAGCTAGAAACGTTGATGAGAGAGAAACATCGACCAACTGCCTCTTGCACACCCCCACTGGGGATGTGCCCGCAACCAATGTACATGCCCTTGACTGGAATCGAATCCGGGACCTTTCAGTCCGCAGGCCAACGCTCTACCACTGAGCCAAAACGGTTTCTGCGACATTACTGCTTTTATCAGTTAATTTCTATTACAGTGGTAGTAGATATTACATAAAGGAGGCAATGATGATAGAAAGTGAGAGAACTAGCAGTTATTGAGCATTTGCTTTGGACAAACACTATGCTTAGCATTATCTAATCTAAATAAAGCAGGTCTTGTAATTATGGTTCCTGTTGTACAGATGAGAAACTGAGGCTTGAGCTAGTAAGTAGTGGAGGGAGAAAGAACACGGCCCACTTACAATGGAGGGCTCTGATGAACACGTCCTGCTTCATCATTTTTACTGAGAATCTCAGGGGCGGTGGTGGCTGTTGGTGAATGGGGGTAGAAGATGCCATTTTACTCCTTTCCTTCTTAAAAGATTTCATATTACATTCTTTTGGGGATGTCTTATTTTCTCTTAATGAAGAATATATAAACCAAGCCTCATCTAGATGGATTGCAAGTATTCAAATCTATGGTGCATTAAAAGTAAAACTGGACCAACAGTGTTTTGGTTTAGTCTTATTCTGGCAAGAGAAGGAACTGTCTGTGAGGTAGAGGTGTTAGAAACAGCCCTCCTTCTGATCTGAGTAGCAATTCAGTAGGCTTATGAAACTTTGACAGTGAGCACATTTGGACTGATATTGATAGTCAGTAGAAGCAGCAAATGGTAGCAGAGATAATAAGCCATGTCTATCTTTTTTCTTAGGAATAACTAAGCCTTTTCATGAAGGAAATTGGAGACAGAATTTGAATGTCCTGTCAATTGGTTCACTTAGTCTAATTTTATTTCTCGAAGGGGAACTTACTCAAGACTATTTTGGTTCCATGTCAGTTCACTGAATCCAAGGGTTTTTTGGATATTTTATTTTTACTGTCTATAAATCAAGCCACTGGAAACAGCTATAATCATTTCCTAGCTGTTGTGTCAGCTAGTCGGTGCAGCAGTGCTTGATGAGAGAGAGCTGTTATTTTGGTTGCTCTTCTTTGGTTTCACAAAGATCTCTGATGGGAGAAAGTGCAGTGGGATTCCAGCTTGGAATCATTGAGCCAGGATATTGTTGATCTTTCGACTTGTTGATGAAGGTGACTATTGTTGTTATAGGAAAGGGGACCTGGGCCTTAGCAGGACAGCCTAAGGATGGCAGGTAGTGAGTGGGTTATTGAGTTTATACAGGAAAGATTTCACAGTATGAGTTCAAGTGATCTTGAGAGAAACTATATTAAAGCTTGGACATTGAAACTATAAAGGGCTTAGGATAGAAGAAGCAACGGGAGAGAGATAGGTGTGGCTGCTTTGGCTCTAGAAGTATTACAGGAAAGAAGTGAGCCAAGGGAGGCTGCTGTTAGCTCACTGGGAAGTCAGAGAAAATGGGGCCTTGGAGACAGGTTCAGAGGGTAAGCCCCAGATGAGCTGTTGCTGCCCATTGCTCCCCTGGTTGCAAGTCTTGTGGGTCCCTTAGAGTTAGGGGATGCGTGGCTGTTGAGGAAGAAGAGGAGGAGGAAGGGAAAGGTGTGGGCATGCTCCCTGGAGGTAGAGGGAGCATTGTTTTTTTTGTTTTGTTTTGTTTTGTTTTGTTTTGTTTTGTTTTGTTTTGTTTTGTTTTGAGGGTTTTAAAGGCTGGGAGTTTAGGGAGATCTTAGGGAAGGATCTCAATAGAATATCATCAACTTTTCCAGGGGTACCTTTTCAGGGTCCTGATTTCCATTGATCAGTCAGTGTCAGGGCAGGGAGCCAATAGTCATTGCATCTGGTCCTGGCATCACCCACCTCGTTTTGTAACCGCACAATCAATGAGTCTGGGCTGCCTGTGACTCGAGTCAATTCAGCAGAGACAGGATTGTATGCGCATTTATTCCAATACTGCCAGCAATATGGAGCAGCAGGTCATCCACAAAAATCTGCTCTGCTCCCACCATAAACCAGTTGCTTATATTGGGACGAAGATTACATGGGGAAGTTGGCAAAAGGGTATGCCAAATGGGCAGTTTACAGGTAATGCGTGCTGAGGATTTGCAAAGGCCAGCAGGTATGCAAAGGGCAGGGATCTTCAAAGGGCTGGTGGCTCTGGTTTCTGCAACAAGGTGGTTCATCTCTACACGATAATTGGTAGTTCCTGGGTGTGGAGGATAGGCTGCATTGCCAGGTGAGCTCCCAGGTCCCATGTGTAACTGCCAGCCAGGTTAGATGTGCTTTCTGTATTCAGAACATGACAGTCATGGTTAATAGAGTCTGATGAATATTTCTTACAATTGTAGTTGGTCCCCAATATTCTATTTTTGCTTCTATAATTTTGCTGCTTTTCTGTACCTGGAATTGAAATACAACTGAAGCCAAATGTTATCTCTAGGGAGGGAAAGTCAGGGTCTAAACCTCATGACCAGTGATATGTCAAAGGAGGAAAGGCCACCCTAGGGACGAGGTCCAGTGCTAGTTTTGTACATTGCTGGGCACCCAGGGCTTTTTGCCCCGGTGATCTGCCTTATCTGGCTGTAAATTGCTTTGCCAGTTTGTTCAGCTAGCTGTCTCAGTTTCCCCATTGTACTTGACAAGAGGTTTCCTAGTTTCTTACTATCCTGCTTCAGTTATAGGTATTATTTTTAGCTTACTCTCAAAATCTGTCTGCTTCTAATGTGCACATTTTCTGAAGAATGCCTCTGGAGGCAGGCTGGATGTGCATTTTTCATGGCGAGGAGGGGTGTAAGAAAGGAACATTAGAAAGGAGACAAAAGGCCTGGATCTTCATCCTTACATAGTGATGTTCATTTTCATCCTAACTAGAATGAATTCTTCATCTTCCCTGAGCCTCCATTATCATTTGTAAAAGGAGAGTGTTGGATGATTGGATTACTTTTACTGCTGGTTTTTTTAAATTGTGGTAAAATACACATGACATCAAATTTACCATATTAACCATTTTAAAGTGTATAGTTCAGTACTATTAAGTACATATATTTTTGTGTAGGCAATCTGCAGAGTTCCTTTCGTCTTGCAAACTGAAAATCTGTGCCCAGGAAACAATAACTCCCTTTCCCCCATTCCCAGCCCCAACAACCATCATTTTACTTCCTGCTCTATAAATATGACTATTCTAGGTGCTTCATTTAAGCAGAATCCTTTTTTCTTTCTTTCTGGCTTACTGATAGGTTAATAAAAGGCAAAGTGAGAGGCAACAAGCATTTGCTTGAAATCTAAAAGAATAAGCTGTTGGGGAAGCATTGATTTAGGCAGAAACCCAAATAGTGTTCTGATAAGAGACAAAGGCAATGGGTATTTATGAGAAGATGAAAAGACGAAGAGTCCATTAATAGAAAGAAGGTATTTCTATTCTAGCAGATAAGCTTACATAGTGATATTAATTATTATTATTTTTTTTACTTTTTTATTCTTTTCTCTGATGTTAATTTCAAAGAATATTTTAAAGTTTCAGTCTATAGCCAGTCCAGTAGTAATAAGATCTGCTTTCTTGTTATCTTTGCAAACATTTTTTTTGTGGAAATATAATGTTGCTTTAGTCCCACTCCAAAGGTTATTTTGCCTTGTTTTAACATTCCAAGTTTTGAGGCATGATGGTGCAAGGCAGTTCCTCTGGAATGGCAGCTCCTGCTTCATTTTATTATTATTATTACTAGAGGCCCACTGCACAAAATTCATGCATTGCAGGGGTAGGTTCCCTCAGCCTGGCCTGTGCCCTCTCACAGTCTGGGAGCCCTTGGGGGGTGTTTGACTGACTGATGACTGTCAGACATCCTTAGCACTGCCATGGAGACAGGAGAGGCTCCCTCTACCACCACTATGCTCTCAAGCCATGAGCCTGACTTCTGGCTTCTGGCTGAGTGGTGCTCCCTCTGTGGGAGCGCTCTGACCACCATGGGGCAGCTCCTGCATTGAGTGTCTGCCCCCTGGTGGCAAGTGCGTGTCATAGTGACTGGTTGTTCCACCTTTGGGCCAAAACCCAACTCTCCAACATCCCCTGAGGGGTCCCGGATTGCAAGAGGGAACAGACCAGGCACGATCAGGACCGGGAGGGACATAGGAGGTTAGCTAGCCAAGAAGGGGCTGCAGGAGGGCTCCAGGGCATGTCCTCCCCATCTCAGTCCCCAGCTGGAACCCAGCAGCAAGCTTACCTACTGGTCAGAGCATCTACCCCCTGCTGGTCAGTGCACATCATAGGGAATGTTTGAGAGACCTTAGCATATCATTAGCATATTATGCTTTGATTGGTTGAACAGCCTACTGGATGACTGGATACTTAGCATATTAGGATTTTATTATATAGGATTATTATTATTTTTGTTAAGCCTCACCTGAGGATATTTCTTCCATTGATTTTGAGAGAGAGAGAGAGAGAGAGAGAGAGAGAGAGAAAAGAAAAGAAGGGGGAAAAGAGAGAGAATATTGATGTGAGAGAAGCACATCAATTGATTGCCTCATGCCTACACCTTGTCTGGGGCCAGGGATTGAACCTGCAACCCAGGTATGTGCCCTTGACTAGGAATCGAATCTGAGACCCTTTGGTACCCTGGCCAATGCTCTAACCCCAGGGCCATGTGGCCCAGGCTCTGGCTCCATTCTAAAGTGGCTCCACACACACACACACACACACACACACACACACACACACACACACACATATATATATATATATATATATATATATATATATATATATTTTATCACTTAACATAATGTCTTCAAGGTTCATCCATATTGTATCATGTGTCAGCATTTGTGTTTTCAACTGAATAGTGTTGTGTTGTATGTATATACCTCATCTTTATCCATTCCAATGCTATTTTTGGATCCAAGATTTCTAGTTTTCCATGAGCCTTATCTGGCAGCCAAAGCTGTGGCTCCCAAGGAGAAGGCACCTTGCCAAGGGGTAGCAGATCAATGGTGGAAGTGTAGAGGCTACTCTGGATCAGAGGCCAGTGTTCCTTCTTTGAGAGCAGGCTATTCTGCTTGCCACAAGTGGCATTTAGAGTATGGAGGATAGCGAGTCCACACATGCTAACTCACGATGGTACCTGGCTTTGGTTCACATATTTTCAGAAGTGGGTTGAGCTTTTTAGTCTCTCTCTCTTTCTTTTTTTCCCTTCTTCTCTTTCTCGTCCATCTCTTCCTCCTCTTACTCCTCCTCCTTCTTCTACTTTTCCTCCTCCTCTTCCCCCCCCCTCCTCATCCTCCTTCTACTTCTTCTTTTTCTCTCTTCTCTTCCAAAAAAATATGAGTTTTATCAGGAGTAAGTAAAGTGTCACTTGATCAAGAGGTTTAGCAAATGAACATGATTGTGGGGCCATGCTTGTCTCAGTGATATTTCTGTTCTTGAGGCAAAGATCATTTCTGAAAATAATACCAAAGATATACATTCCCTTGTGTTCTGCTCTTCCCTCCCTGTCTATTGTCATGATCCCTTTGACAGTCTAAGGGAATTCATTTCTGTGTATCTTAGCTTTTAAGCTGTTTCCAATTTTGTAGATAATTTCTTGTCGCTGTCTGTGAAGAAAATGGGATGATATTTGTCACTATCCATTTGTCATAATTATAGCATATGGTGGATGAAGAGGAACAGTACTACCAGAGAGAAAATCCTTGTCTGCTGGAGGATATAATGGGAATGGCAGGTTTAGCTGCTGACTGGTATTTTGTCAGAGAAATAATTTCAGAGCTCGTTTCCTGATTTCCCAGTATCAGGTTCAGATACTGTTTTGTTAATGTTTTGTTACTGTTAATGTTTCTGTGGCCACATTTCTGTCAGGGCATCTGCAGCTGTCAGATGCTCCTTATGTGCTCAGGAATTCTCTTGAACCACAGGCTGTCCACCTGCAGGGCCCAGTGTAGCTTCTCAGGCAGGAGAGGACATCATTGGTAACATTTTAAAAAATTAATTTTATTGATTTTTTAGAGAGGAAGGAAAAGGGATAGAGTTAGAAACATTGATGAGAGAGAAACATCAATCAGCTGCCTCCTACACACCTTCTACTGGGGATGTGCCCACAAGGAAGGTACATGCCCTTGACTGGAATCGAACCTGGGACCTTTTAGTCTGCAGCCCAACACTATCCACTGAGCCAAACCGGTTACAACATGGTACTATTTTTGATAATACACCTGAAGCCAAATGATGTTCATCTTCATGGGAAACACACTACAAGAATTGATATGATCTGTAATATGTTTGTAATGCTTAGAGTTTACAAGTGTTAAAAAAAAGAAAAAGAAAAAAAAGAAAAGAAATAGAATCACTTTAAAATGGAGCCGGAGCTGCCACCTCAAAGGAACTAATTGCCTTGCGTATCTTATGCATTAAATCTTTAGAATGTTAAAATTGGGCAAAATATTTAGACTGTATCCCAAACAACTGTTTGCAGAGATAACAAGAAATAAGTTATGACAACTACTGAATTGAAAATGAAAAACATAGTTTAGAATTAAAATCACATTGTTTTTGGTGTTCACAAGCTAACATATTGATTTTAATTTTCATGGAATGACTGCCCAAGAGGGCTGTGCACCATACGGAAGGGCATCCTTATTGCTTTCCCTGCTTAATACTAGTCTCTGTTTGTAGGGAAGTACTTTCAAGCTCTCATCTTCAGTATCCCACCCCCTCCGAATGTTAATAAGTAACATGTATTCATTCAGTGTATTGTTAGCTTTGTTATGTGATAAGATTTATCTTTTTCCCCCCCTCTCTCTCACTCTCTCTCTTTCTCTCTTTCTTTAATACAGAATTCGGAGAAAAGTGGTATATCAAGAAAAAATGACATAGGTATGTAATGATTTTTTTAAAAAAATTTAAGAGTATGTACCCAGGTGTATTTCTTGTAGATTATTTTTCAGTGAAATTCATTTTTCTTCCTGAGTTTATTTATGTTGTAAATATTGTTGTGTTTCCAATAAGGGCAGATTACCCAACCAGGTGAGGGTCCATACTTGTGGGAGAAAAGGACACACTGTGGCCTTTGTTCATGCCCTCCTCTGCCTGGAGCCAGGTCCCCCACTGTGTACCCGCAGATACCAATAGCCCTTCAGTACACTCATTGACCTGTCTTCTGTCAGACTCCTCCTGATCCCTGGTGTGGAAGGGATGGCTTGCTCCTTGGCAAACCCACCACACTTCTGTTGCAGCCCATATACACCCTTATTTGCAACCTCTTTTAAACACATATTTTTCCCTCAGCATATTGTGTCTTCAGGGATGTGACCATGAATGATATATATATATATATATATATATATATATATATATATATATATATATATATATATATATATATATATATATTTTTGTATTCTGTATTTTGTATTCTGTATTCTGTATTTTTTTTTTGTATTTTGTATTTTTTCTGTGGGAAATATACTGCAGGGTGTCAATGGGAGGGTAAGGTCCCACCTTTGTCAGTAGGGGTTGGTCTTTTCTCAAAGGGTGTGAACTTTGTCACTGTCCATCATTCAGGATGTGCACTGGAGACCTGGAAGGTTGGCTGGGACAGCAGGGAAAAGGTACGCCTTCTTTGTAGGCCTTTCCTTTCAGATTCTAAGGAGCCAAGAGTACCTGCTAAGGGTGGTGGGTGGTGGGGTGGCCTGTGCTGGATAGGTGAGTCTGAGGCCCTGCACACAGGGGAGCTTGGGGCATAGGCGAGGGCTGTGGGTTCTGAGAGCAGCCTTAGTTAAGGAGCCACATTGCTTTGTTGCCTTTCCTCTGTGAAAACATTCTTTTGTAGTTCAGCCATGCCTCTCCATGTGAGGTTTCTCCTCTGTTGCAACCTTGTGGGTTTGGGCATTTGTTTGTATATTTATTTTATGGGAGCTGATGGGTCTCCTCATAGTAAATGGTTATTAAATGAACTAATGATCATTGCTGGGAACCTGGGTTTGAAAGGACCTAGACTTGCAAGCGCAGATGGCCAGTCTGGTGATAGAACTTGGTATATGATCATCTGAAAAGGACCCAGGGGATTTGTTGGCCACAATCAGTGAGTCTTCAGGACTGGGGGCTGCTAGGGCAGCTGCGCAGTAGAGTCAGAGAACTTATGTCATGGTCTCACAGTACTCAGGGCTGGGTGACAGCCTCCAAGGGCAGGCAGTCTCTTTTTCTCTGACTTACCACCTAATCCATAGATTCTCATCAAGTGACACATAACAGGAGAGTGACTCTTCATGTATGAGTGCGTGTGTGCATATTTATCCCCAGCTTTAAATCATGAGCCAGCTTCTTATCCAGCTTTGCCACATTGATTTCTCATAAAAAACAAACAAACAAAAAAACACACCAGCCTTGTGAAATCCACGTTTCCTGATAATTTATGATTAGGAAGGATCATTGTTTAGTGTGTTTAGCACATGACAAATACTTAGCACATGCAGAAATAGAGGGCCTTTGATTTATTTTACCTTCATAGAAGAATTGCTTTTCCTAAAGAGACCCTTTTGAAACTTCTTTGGCTCTGTTGCCTGTACTCAGTACTCTGCAGATCTCCACTGACTTTAGAACCACATTGATCCTTTCCATATCCTTGACTAAGTTATTTATCTTCTTGTCACACTCAACATTATTGTCAGGCACTTAAAGTACTACCCATTTGTCACACATTCCTGGAGGAGAAACAGCAACAATTTGTATTGAGTGGTGGCAGTGTTTGCTTAAAGCAAATTGCGCTGAGTTTAGAGAAGGGCAGCCAAAGTGAGAGGAAGTAGTGGAGTTGCCTTGTTAGCTTCAGTGACTGGGCAGTGGGAGCCTAAGAGTCACATAGCCAAAAGTGTCAACAAAGAAGACTATAAGGTGACCTCTGTAATCGAGACACTGCTAGAATGTGACACAGTGAGGGACATGTGTCAAAATGTTTCATGAGAAAAAACCCATCCTGAATAATTAATGGAAGAAAGAACCATGATCAAGTACAGAAAGTGGAGACCACATAGAGAGGTAGGAAGTGTGGAGGCATGAAACACCCACATGGATGGACACCCACAGACAGTAGCTGAAGTTCTGGAGGGATATTGCAGTTGTGGGGGGTTCTAACTTAGAACTCTGGGGTCTAAACCCCAAACTGAATCCCCAGCCTAGAATACCAGAACCGAGAAAGGTGCTCACATAAAAAAGCAGCAGGATTGCCCTCTGTCAGCCATAGATGGCTGAAAATGCAGGCTCCCACTTAAAGCACCCAAGCACAAATAGAGAAATATCACTCAATCAGGGAATCAGAAACAAACAAACAAACAAACAAACAAACACAGTGCAGCTTAAAGGAGTTATGGGACAACATGAAATTTAACAATATTCTCATAATAGGAGTGCCAGAAGGGGAAGAAAATGATAAAAGGGTAGAGAATTTTTGAAGAAATAATAGCAGAAAACTTCCCTAACTTAGTGGAGGAAAAAGTCATACAAGTTCAGAAGGCACAGAAAACCCCAAGCAAGAAGAATCCAAATAACCCCATCCCAGACACATCATAATTAAAATGCCAAAAATTAAAGGCAAAGGCAGCAAGATAAAAGCAATTTGTTATCTACAAAGGAGCTCCCATAAGGCTGTCACCTGATTTTTCATCAGAAACTCTATAGGCCAGAAAGGAATGGCTTGAAGTATTCAAGGTAATGAAAAGCAAGGATCTGAAACCAGGGTTACCATATCCAGCAAAACTATCATTCAAAATAGATGGTTAAATAAAGAGCTTCCCAGATGAAAAAAGGCTAGAGGAGTTTGTCAACACCAAGCCAGCACTGAAAGAAATGCAAAGGGACTGCTGTAATGAGAATAAATAGGGAGAGAGAGAAATCTCGGCATACAAAATTAAAATTGCAATAAGTACCTATCAACAACTTCAAATGTAAATGGATTAAATTCTCAAAAAAAAAAAAAAAAAAGACATAGGGTAGCTGAATGGATCAAAAAACATGACCCAATTATATGCTGTCTTCAAGAGACTCACCTCAGAACAAAAGACTCACACAGGATGAGAGTGAGGGATGGGAAAAAATTTTTTTCCCCCCATACAAATAAAAACAAATAAATGGTGGGGTAGTAATACTCATATCTGACAAAATAGATATCAAAATGAAGGCCATCATAAGATATAGCAAAGTTCACTACGTAATACTAAAGGGATTGATCCAACAAGAGTATATAACGCTGGTAAACATATATGCACCCAATATAGGGGCACCTAAATATATATTAAAAAACAAACAAACAACCTTTAGAGGACTTTAATAGAGAGATCGACAGCACTTCAGTTAAATTAGGGGACTTGGACACTCTGCTAACTTCACTGGATAGATCTAGACAAAAAAAAAAAAAAAAACAACCAAGGGAACAGTGACTCTAAATGACATACTGGAGCAGATGGATTTAATTGACATAGAAAATTTCATTCTAAAGGTGCAGAAAATATTCTTCTCAAGTGCACATGGACCATTCTAAAAGATAGACCACACATTAAGACACAAAATAAGTCTGTACAAGTTTGGAAATTGAAATCATATCAAGCATCTTCTCAGATCATAATGGAACAAAATTGGAAATCAGCTATAGTAAAAACACTCAAAAACATACACATGGACGCTAAATAGCATGTTACTAAACAATGAATGCTTACCAATGAGATCAAGAAAGAAATTAAAAAAAAAAACTTCCTGGAAATAAATGTCAGTGAACTCAAAACAACTCAAAATATATGGACACAGCAAAAGCAGTTCTGAGAGGCAAGTTCATAGCATTATAGGCATATCTCAAAAAATAAGAAAAATTAATAATAAACTACCTAACCTTATAACTTAAAGAATGAGAAAGCAATAAGAAAAGCCCAGAGTAAAAGGAAGAAAATAATAAAGATTGGAGCAGAAATAAATGACATAAAGAATAAGAGGTGGTTCTTTAAAAAGATAAACAGGATTGATGAACCTTTAGCTAAACTCATCAAGAAACAGAGAGGACCCAAATAATTAAAATTAGAAATAAAAGGGTAAAGTAACAATTGACATCACAGAAATACAAAGAATTGTAAGAAAATATTATGAGCAACTATGTGCCAACAAGCTGGACAATGTGGATGAAATAGACAAATTTCTAGAGAGATATAATCTCCCAAACTCAATCATGTAGAATCAGAAAGCCTGCGTAGGCCAATAGCAATTGAGGATATTGAAATAATAATAATAATAATAATAATAATAATAATAATAATAATAGTAAAAACCACACAAAAAACTCCAGCAAACGAAAGCCCTTTTCCAGATAGCTTCACAGGGGAGTTTTACCAAAGATTCAAAAAAGAACAAACACATATTCTCCTCAAACAATTCTAAAACAATCCAAGAGGAAGCAACACTTCTCAGTTCATTTTATGAGGTCAATCTTATCCTAATTGTAGATAACAACACTGCAAAACAAGAGAATTACAGACCAATATCTCTAATTATCATAGATGCTAAAATCCTCAACAAAATCTTAGCAAATTGGATCCAGCAATATATTAAAAAAATCATATACCTGGACCAAGTGGGATTTATTTCAGGGATGCAAGGCTGGTACAATATTCACAAATCAATAAATGTAATACATCACATAAATTGAAAGACAAAAATCACGTGATCAGAAAAATTATCAGACAAAACCCAACACCTATTTTTTTTTTTTTTATAAAAATGCTCAGCAAAGTGAAAATAGAGGGATCATGCTTCAACATAATAAAGGCTGTATATGACAAACCTACAGCTAACATCATACTCAATAGGCAAAAACTTAAACTATTTCCCCTAAGTACAGG